AGCCTCCAGGCCCAGAATAAAACTGAGGATCACTGACCATGATTAAAAATACACAAAAGAATTTATGAAATTTACCTTTGTTTTATGGAAGATAATAAATCTAAAATCTAAAAATTATAGTGCAACAACAGAAAATAGATTTATAGGGACATAGTAGCACTATCTAGTCAAAAGCAGCCTTTTTTACATGCTCATTATGTACAGAAGTTCTGACTACAGGTTGAGCATGCCTTATCCAAAAATCAAAAATGCTCCAAAATTCAAAATTTTTGAGCACTGAGATGATGTTTAAAGGAATCAGAGTCTGGATTTTGAAGGCTTAGTTGGTACATTTCAAATATTCCAAAATTTGAAAAAAAAATCTAAACTCGGAAACATTTCTATATCTGAAGTATTCTGAATAAGGAATACAAAAATCTTTCTTATTTTGGTCTTATTTATAATAAAAAGTAAAAGTTCTGGATTCAATTCAATAATAAAAGACATAATGTGTCATGCAATTATTTTTAGGGATTGCCAGATAACCATATAAACTATCTCCTCCAACTGTCTGATTTAAAAGTTACAAATCTTTGCTTTTTGGCAAGGTTCATTTTCATTACCATACATCCATCAGGAAAAGATTAACCCTAACCTAAAGCCAGGTGACAGCTGCTTCAAAAAGTATATTCTGCTTGATGAAAAACCAGAAAGGGAATAAATGAATGATTGCTATTGATTCCCATGATAGCTCTACACAGACCCAGTAACTTCTCTGGATTAGTATAGATAGAAGCCAATTAGTTTTATTTCATATGTAAATAGCAGCATAAAGAGGTACCAAAAAAATAATTCACGGGATTGCTTTATCCTAAAGCACAAGACACACATTTTGAAAGTCACTTCAAATACAGTTCTTGCTTATGGAGCTCTCCCTTTCTCTTAGGCAGGAATTTTTAAAATAAATTCAAACTCATCCAGCTGTGTATATTCAAGAAATACCAAAAAGTCTCAAGGCATAGTAAGTTTCAGCTGTTCGCCTCTCTCCAGTGTTATCAATAACACATAATGAGTTAGTTCATACATCATCACAGCTGTGCAGGCCAGTGCTAACTTGGCTAATTTAAACTATTCCAGGAGAGTTTAGTCAGGATTTTGGTCTAGTTAAAATAATTCACTCTCCAAGTCATATAGAATATAATAATATATGCTTTCTTATTATCATTAGTTATCAGTTTCTCCTTTTTACACAAGAGTTTCTGTTAATTATCTAATGTCACTGTCCCTTGGACAGACTGAAAAAAAAAAAAAAAAGAGACTTCTTAGAGCAACTGGCAATCAAAATCATTCAGCAACTAAGACTGTAACAATACTCTAGGCTTAAGCCCTAAGTAAGTAAAACTCCCTTTTATCAGTAAGGATTAATTCCACAAGAGGAGAGAAAGTCTTCTGGAAAAAAATTAAGCATAAATCCAGGGTTTTTCAACTCTACTCTCTTTCTATAAATGCAGAATTAGAAATAATCATTAGTCATACTATTATCTGTAATCATCTCCAAAATAAGGTTTGCAGAGTGTCTTTTCTTGATGGGTGGCAATAACTAGAAGACTATCTTGGCACACTTTAAAATGAATGTACAAATGTAATATGAAACCAACAGTGATGTTGGTTGCTAAAGAGAGATTTGCACAGCCACCATAATTTCAATTATCCACAACAATATTCCACATAGTGAGTGAGGCTCTGTTAAAAGTGCTTAGTTCTGCCATCCAATATCATCTTCTATTAAGGATGAGTGCCTAATGTCAGAGACTTTGTTTTCTTAACCGAAAACACAACATTCAATGTTGTTTTCTCAAGTGCATATTTGGAATTTGGAAATTCTCCAAGCCCATCCCATGTACAGAAAAGAAGCCTCAGTATCTCTATCTTGGGAGTTCAGACACATAACTAGTATCCAGTTGATGTTGGCAATAAACATTTGTAGATGTACAAAAGTAGAATGAGAAAACAAAGTGGGATTACATCATAATTTTATTACAATAAACCAAATAAGCATCTATTAATGAAATCCTTTTTTAATGTGGTTTTAGTATCTTAGCATCATGACTGAAGTGTTAGAAAGGATCTGTGAACTTATCTAGCTCAATTTCCTTTCCAAATCCACTCCTGAGTACAAAATGAATAATACACATCTAATTTACATTTAGATGTTAAATCCAATAGATGTACAAAGCAAAATAACGAATTTTATCTGCATAATTTGAAACTATGCTTTTGTCTCTGCTATAGACCTAAAACTGTGACTTTCCCCAACTCCCACACAATGAAGATGTTAGGGATATGGAATATAATAATTTGCCAAGTCATATCAACTATGAGAAGACTGGGATAAACAACTGCCATTCATTATTCCTGAATCCAAAGATTGTTGGGTCTGACTTGGACATATACACAGCTGAACACACACTTCCTGGTTATGTGCAATCTGCACAGATAGACCAGCTTTACAGGCCTGACCACAGAGATTAATAGCTTTAGCCAAATAATGTGGTAACCATGTGAACCTGGGCTGCTCCAGCTTGTTTGTGAATCTCTGAGCAAGGCTCAACATGCCGTTATCTGCATCTTGTTGCCAGGAAACACAACATCGCTTTGGAATACAAGGAAAACCAGGTTGCAATGACCACAGGTCAACTTTCCAAAAGCCTAATTTTTGACACTTAGCTATCTAAAATATTGCAACATTTCTTCCTGTAGTCCTGGGAGAAGTTCATTTTAGTACTAATTTAACAGTCAATACTTTTTGCTATTTTATCAGGCCAGGATCACTCATTACTACTAATGATGTAGTGGCAGCAACAGTAATTACAATAATTCACTCACACTTTTCTTCTCCAGGCAAACATCAGTTTACTTCATTAAAACTGATATAAAAATCTAACACTCACTGCAACTACTTTATAACTGATTCAACAATATATGCTTATGAGTTTGTATCTGTTTATTCTTCAGCAAAATAATCTTACCAAAGGATAAAATACCCAATATGCTGCTGACCTAAGAGTTCTTGCAGTTTCTAGGATTAAATGACTGTCTTGCCTTGCTCATAATAACAGAATGTAATGTGTTAGACAATAATCCTGCTAGTTTCTTCTTGATCAATTCAAACAGATAGAAACTTAATGTACCAAGATGCTGAAGTACTCAGCAGACTGGAAATTTGCTTCCTAAGAGTGAAGTATAAGGCCACTGTTCTGCAGAATTTTGCAATCTGGAATTGGAGGATTAGAGTGGCTTTGAGAGTATATAAAATTAATTACCCTTGACACAGCAATTACAATTGCTAGCTCATGAGCAAAAGAAATTCTGGACAATATCTTATTAAAAGGATTTGTAAAATAAAATGGAAAACATTTTTTCCCTCTTCCAGTGCTAGTTTAAAAAAAAAAATAAGAAAAAAAATCTTGTAAGATTTTTGCTACTCAAGCAAGATAGAATCTTGAATGCATTATATTATCAAGATAACACATTTATAGTTCTTGATATGACCTTACTTTTATACTAGGGGGTTTCCTATGTAATACCCTTCAACTTGGGCTTTATACTGTTTCTCTTCATGTTCCACACTTCCCCTTCAAAACACAAGATGCAAAGTTCTAGTCTCATGATAATTATGTTACTAAAAATACTTGTGGACCTGTGTACTACATAACTGAAATACTGAAATGCTGAAAGGAAACCACTTATCCAGTACTAAAAGGAAGCAAGAGAAGTTTAAAAAGTGCACTGGCTAGTCAGAATACTGGTCAGTATCAAGACGCATAGAGTAAGACAACCTGGAATTGGTTTATAGTCACCATTTGCTGACTCTCCAGGTGTCTGGGTACTGTAAACCAACTATCTATGCACAAAGATGACTCTCAAGAAGTTCTTCTCCTGTACTTCTGTATTGCATAGTCTGTTTTCTCCCCCACATATATATATGTCACGTATCTTGGTACTACACCAGGCAATTCATTATCTGTGAAGCTATCAGGTTGCCCTCATGGTCTTCCAAATCAAATAGCATGGAAAGCAACAATGTTCTTCTCTTCCATATAATTTTAATCCTCACTCTTGGTTAATACTACGCACTTTAACTCCTCTTACACTACACGAGAAACCACTTAGTAATATAAAGATTAAAACTTATTATCTAGTCATTTTTGCACAACAACTTTACATATGGCAACTATCATTTTCATTTTAAAGTTCACTTAAAGACAAATTCTCCGTCAGTGAATACTGCTAAGACATCCATACTAAGAGATTTGAATTATATATATACACGTATTTTTGAAAGTTGAGAGTAATTGTTTTTATGAATAAACATATCATTAACATAAATCCCCCTTTCACTCATTGTTAAAAGACTCTTCTAGGCTTTTAAAAAAATACTCTGAATTGTAGAACTATTTATTTTATCAGTTAGATAAACTTAATGGCAAAAAGCTGCAAGGAAACTAATAAAAGATCCAGAAGTATGGGAAGAACTTGTGAATCATCCACAAAAAAAGTGTTTACACCATTCAAATTGAAAACAGCCACAAACATCTCCCAACAATACTATTCTCCTTTTAAAAATAGTAGCTACTCAATATGCAGAACTTTAAAATCAGATAAATTAGGTATTCATTATTTATGTTATAAGACTCACTATGAACTTTCTTTCAAAAAGGTCTCCTATGTGATTAATATTTGATTCACAACATTCAATGTATGTGCAACTTCTCAGTCACACGCATATTGAACAGAGTGACATCTGAATTGTTCAAATCATAAAACCTTCATTGTCTGATTGGGTAAATAGCCTGCATTCAACCACCATGAAAAATCAGGATAGCATAAAGCCAAAAGAATTACAGTGGAAAAAATAAAACCTGTTAGTCCTGAAAGAAACTACTCCACACTAAGCTTTTAGCTTTTTTACTTTCTCTTCTCTACAGCATTTTAAAAGTTTACAAGTTATAAATACATACCCATACTTCATTCTCATTCTGTCATTTTCTGGGTTACAATAAAATCTTTCCAAGTGCTCCTGAGAATCATTGGATACACTCTGCCACTTCTGAGTAGTCCTCCTTTTGATCTGCCAATGATATGGCAAGACTGTATGGTGCTTTAAACAATCCCTGCCATAAATACAAGTGCCTTGCAGAAAGTCCATGCAGATTTCAATTCCATTTTCTTGGTGAGTGTGGTACTGTAGCTGGTTCACCAGCTCAAACACCAGGTCAAGGGAAGCCTCCTCACTTTTGTCCTGGAAGAGCTCAGTACTCAACTTATCACTGGTGTCTAAAATGTACTGGATTGTAAAACTGTTATCTTGGAAAACCCCTGGAATATAATCCATGACTTTGTCTATGCAGTCAGGACTAGTAGGAACATCACCTGAAACTGGGTGCAAAAGGTCAGCCTGGAAGTGCGCTGGTGTAGAATCTGCCACTGTCCCACTGATGGTTTCTGGTGAAAAACTGTGATCCTGGATTGGAACGACTTGTTCTGGAGCATCAGTGGAAGGATGGGCTTCTGGTATTTGGCCCCCAACATTTGTCCCATCAGGAATAAGGACAGACATATTGTCTTCTGCTGGTGGGCACGATGTATTGATTTCCAGGGCTTTTTTCACCATAGGTTCATGTAAGCTGTTCTCATCTGAAGTCTGGTTCCTAGATCTAAAGACACCATCAAGTGAGCCAGATTCTAGTAAAGTGTTTAATATCGGCCTCAAAGACCTCAGGGTTCCAGTTCCCAATCTTTTCTGATCCTGCTTTTTCTTAAAACAAGTCTTCAATGGAGCAATCTTCTCAGAAAGTCTCATCTGGCAGGAAAAGTCATCATCAGGAGGAGAAGGGGGCTGCACTACACAGTCTGGCTCAGATTCTGTGGTCTCCATTTCCATGATGTGGATTAGCTCCAATTGCTCTTCAGAGTCTAAAAATCCTAGCAGAAAAGGAAGGAAGATGTTCATTTACAAACTGATAACAACAAGTTCATTCATTAAAATATTTTGTTTTGGTCTGTTTTGGCCCTGAAATCATTCCTCTTGTGCTATATTTAGTCTCAATTTTAATTTTACTGAGAAATCAAGGCTCCAACTAACCAAGGCTACAGCAGGTAAAGGAAGAAAGAAAATATCTTTGGCACTTATTTGCGACCTTAACACATATAAAGAGTCTAATTCTGCTGGGGTATGAATTTTTACTGTAAGGCTAAAGTGGGGGGGGGGAGGTGGTAGGGTGGAAATAACTATGTCTAGATGATGACAGCAAGGAAACCACATCTCTACTCAGCTTTGTGGTTCTCATGACAGTTGTTTATGTACCACCTGTCTCATGAGTTGACAAAAACAGTCTCTTTGTGGGAGAAAAAAAAGGTTCATCAAATGAAAGTTAAACTTCAAAGTTAAATGGTGAGTGAATTTGAGGTGTAGGGAATAGGAAACAGGAGCTCTTAATCGAAATATCATATGACAGAAATCCAGAGAAGTGTATCAAACATTTCTATATTCTGGAAGTTCTAATATATTCCTCAAGAATGTTAAAAGTCTGCTTTTGAAATCCCCAGAAACATTACCACTACCGAAGGAAAACCAGGGTGTGTTTAGCAACAGAAGCCACATCAGCAACAACCACAGCACACTGTGTTAGAAACCAAACAACTCCCTAACACAGAAAGGGCCTCCAAGTCCATCTTCAGAAGTTATAGGTAAGAAATTTTTACAAAGGCAAATGACGAATTGTACAGAAAAATAACACAAGAATGTAAAACTCACGCCAAACTTCAGATTCCTAATGAAGTATTGAAAGAGACAAGAAAAGCGCTTTCAAGAATCTGACCCCTTGAAAAAACTGAAACTTAAAAATTTTTACTCAGGTTGTGTCAGGTGAGAAAGTAATGGTGATAAGCAATTAATTCTTTTCTCTCTTGTTCAATTGATCAAAAGAGATCCTCTAAGCAAGAGCCCATCACTTAATCAAGTATGCATCCTGAATGTTCAAGTACAGTGCCATGCACAATGCATACTACAGGTGTCCCAAAAACATTTTGTTGGCTAAATTACTGAAGGTGTACATTAAATGCTTAGTTCTTTGTTGTTTCTGAGGCAACAAAAACAGCTAAAATTGAGTCCCTCCTCTAGAATGAATATTAAAGACATAACTAGAGAAAGTCATAAATCTATGTGTAAAAGTGCATAATAGTCACTTAAGAGAAATAAAATACAAAGCAGTGTATAATAAAGTGCATACGGAAGCACAAAGGTAGAAAAAGGAGAGTTCAGTTTGAGCTGGCATTGTGTTAGGGAAAGCTTCACGAAGGAGGGACCTGACATGAGACATAAATCAAGTGGAAAGCAGCCAAGCCAGGCGTTATTATTCATCATTCAGTGCTATTGCCTCAAGGCAGAATTGGCACAGATAGTGGTATTCCCTCTCCACCACACCAAACCGGCCTGTGCCTTCCCCCACGCACACACACCCCAACCACTCCTATCACACCCAATCCAGGCAAAACAGACACTAAGCCAATGTTACTTCTAAGTGTGTGTACTCACACAGACGCGCGTCCAACTTTCCCTATTGTCATTACCCTTCATCCAACTCGGAAACAAAACAGGGAAGCAGCAGCAGAGAACTAGAGAAGTGGCGAACCCACCAGAACCTACTTCCCCAATTAGTTGGCACAGCAGGAAAATAAGGCCTGGAAGGACGCTTCCTCCGGTCCGCGGCTGCAGGCGACCCCGTGCCAGACCGCTCACCTCGCGAGCCGCGGCTTCTCCGGCGCTCCCGGACAATCGCATCCTCGGTGGAAACCGCCCGCCCCGACCGCGCGCCCGCCCGGGTCCGAGCGACGCCTCCTGCCGGCCGCGGCGGTTTGCGCGGCTCCGAGCCCCCGGCCGCGCCGACCTGGCGAAGCGCCGCCGCGGCGCCGCCCGGCCGGGCGATCCCGAGCGTCCCCAGGCATCCCCGCCCCCTCCGCGGGCGCCCGGCGCCCCTCAAGCCCACGGCCCGGCCTTCCCGGGACCAATCGCCCGCCCCGGCCTCCCCGCGTCCCGCACGCCCTCGCGGCGCCGTCTCCATTTCGCTTCGTCTCTGCCGCCTCGGCCACCTCCTGAGGGGCGTCCGGCGGCTCGCGGAGCCGAGCGGCGAAGCGCTGGGAGACGCGGCGGGCGCTCCGCGCGGCGGCGGGAGGGAGGCGAAGCCTTCGGCGCCCTCAAAGTTCAGGAGAAACAGCCCGCAAACTTGTCGCTGCAGCGGGCGCGGGGCGGCCGGAAGGCTCCGCAGCCGCCGCGCCGCGCGGCGGCGGGAGGGAGGCGAAGCCTTCCGCGCCCTCAAAGTTCAGGAGAAACAGCCCGCAAACTTGTCGCTGCAGCGGGCGCGGGGCGGCCGGAAGGCTCCGCAGCCGCCGCGCCCTCCTCCCGGCGGGGCAGGGGCTGCCTCGCGCCTCCGGAGCCGGCTCTGCCCCGCCCTGACCGGCAGGGAAGCGGCGGCCGCCGGGGGCCCCCGCCCGCCCCTCCGCGGCCGGTGCGCCTCACACACCTGCCGGAGGCGCTGAGCGGCCGAGGAGTCCCCTCCGATCCCACCCGTCCGCGGACGGGACCCGAGCGAGCGGAGCACGAAACGGCGCTCTCAAAATCAATCGCCCTCATTATCTGCAAGAGCCCGGCACGGTCCGGCACGGGGCCGGGGCCGGGGCCGCGAGGCCGGGTCCCGCCATCCTGGCCAGGGTCGCCGGCCCCTCAGCGCCCACCCGGAGCTTTTTACCTGAACGAGAGCCCTAGAGACCCGACCGTGGGAGCCGCGTCGTGGACACGTCCGCGCCGCAGCTCGGCGCCGAAGGCGGGCTCCGGCATCTAGGGTCCAAGGGCCGGCGACGCGGCTACACGGACCATTCCGCCGCCCGAGCACAGAAAACCTCGACCGCGCTCCAGCTCCAGCTCGCTCGCCTGTCACCTCAAGCTCTGCCTTAAGTGGCTTCCGGTCGCCTCCGGAGGCGGAGCCTGGGCGCCGGGGGGTGGGGTGGGGTGAGGAGGCCGGGCGCTCAGTGGGTGCCGGGAAGGAGGCCCACCCCCCTCGTGCGCGTGCGCGCTGGCTCGCAGGGAGGTGCGCGGGGTGTGCGTGCGGTGGCCGTGTGCTCCCACGAGGGGGCGTGTCCTTTCGGCGCCTGCTGGTCCCCGAGGGTCCGGGTTTACGCGCGTCTCGGGGCGAGCGGCTGTGAAGAAGGGAGACGCGCGTTGCGTGGGGCGGCCTCCATCTGCCTTCGGACAGATGGAGGGTCACTTTGTTCCGAGAAGACCTAGGCGCCGGAGGGAGGATGTGAAACGGAACGACTCGTTTCGGTGCGGTTGGCTTTGTTTATTTGCCTCCTCGGCGACGCCTCCAGCCCCTGACGCCCCAAGTCCCAGAGAGAAGGCAAACGGCTGCCTCCGCCGCGGCCGCCAGACGAGGTCGCCTCCCGCGCCGGATGGGGGACGGTGCGCACCTGCGCTGGCGCCTCTGCGGACGGGAGCCGTAGCTTAGGGGTTTTAACGAGAGAAGTGTGTGTGTGTGTGTGTGTGTGTGTGTGTGTGAGAGTGAGATTTAAAACCCACAGACACGGTAGTGACTAATTTATTCATTCAGCAAATGTGTCAGAGAGCGCCTGTTACGTGCCAGGCATGTACTAGACTTAGGGCTACAGCCCGCATGGGCCCCGACCGCACACCTGCCTCTTGCAGCTCGCAGAGTACCGCATACTCACCTCTAAAATACACACCGCATGTGAAATTGACATTTTCTGGAATGCAAAATGCCTTGAATTGTAATTCGATATGTTGAATAGATTTTCAGTGGTTCACATAAAACCTGTGTGTGTCGGGGGAGGGGTTGTTGGTATTCCAGACATGGAAGCCTGTAGAAATAGAGAAGTGATGGTAAAATAGACATTATGGTCCTATGCATTTATTAAACTGTTCTAGACCAGATTGGGTGCTCACACCAGCAACGAATAGATTAAAGGTGTTGTCTTCCCCAGAAGGCTTATTTCAGATTTCATCAAGGCAGGGCCTTTAAACTAAGGTGGGAATGATAAGGGTGGAATTCAGAAAACAATAGGTAAAAGACAATCTTTACATTTAAAAATTATATGGATAAGAGGGGCTATATCTAACAAATGCAAACATTGTAACCTAGTTTTCTCCTCACATTAATGTGAAATAAAAAATATAATAAAAACCAATTATATTGAGACAAGATCATGGTCTATGTCTACTCACACATAGAACTGCCTACATGTAAATATTTCAGTTTAAATCTACCATCTGAGTATTTGCTTTGTATTTGTCATATTTATTTTGTTTCTTGTCTGTCCATTAATTCTTTTCTTTCTTTCTTTCTTTTTTTTTTTTTTTTTTGAGCCGTTGTTTTTTTGTTTTTTTGTTTTTTTGAGTCTGGGTCTAGCCCTGCCACCTGAGCTAGAGTACAGTGATGTGATCGTAGCTCACTGCAACCTTAAACTGCTGGGCAGAGGCGATTCTCCTGCCTCAGCCTCCCTAGTAGCTTGGATGATAGGCAAGAACCACCATATCCTGCTAATTTTTCTATATTTTGTAGACATACTGACTTACTCTTGCTCAGGGTGGTCTTGAACTCCTGGCCTACAAAGTGCTAGGATTACAGGCAGGTTTGAGCCACGTGCTTGGCCGTATTATTTTTTTAATTCTATTCCTATCCAATTATGTGTTATATGTTTTTTATTCTTTTAATAGTGTTTCAGTTTATTGCTATGTGCATACCACCCTAAGATATAAAGACTTAAAGCAATAATTATTTTATTAGCTCATGATTCTAGATGCTCTGGCTCAGGTATTCACTCAGGGCATGTTGGAGGTAGCTCATCTCAGCTGCATGATGTTTGGGGCTTCAGTTAGGGTGGCTGAGCTGGGTGGGACCTGGCTAGGGCCATATGTCTTGGGACTTGAGGATGGAGATGGAGTTTCATAACAAAATGAAGGTGAAGATAATGTGGAAAATACGAAGATGGAAGCCACAGCTAAGCACAATGATAGAAGTCTGTGGGCTGCATGGCTTCTCTACATCGCTAATT